GTGACATTTGGAAAGCTCTATTTTACTCATACTTTGATAAATGTACAAGTGTGCCAGAAGCTTTCATCTTTTCCAATAGCCACTTGTTGGTTTTCAACAAACAATCTGAACCACGTAGCACACAGCTGTATAATATGAGGCTGCAGTACCTACCAGCGCACATGAGATCCAGGCGGAGGGTGGGTAGTGTAAGCTGGGTAAAGAGGCTTTGAGGGGCTCCCCTGCTGGGCTACTGCTTCCACTGGTGAGCGTGAGAAATGGGACTGGTGGGGGAGAGGGCAGACCAGGCCAGACAGGGCTTTAACACCTGTTGGCCTGCCCACAAACTGGGTTAGGCAGAGAGCCAGGCTGGGCTAGCCAACTGGATCCACCAGTGTGTGCATGAGCCGGAGTAAATGCAGTCTGATTGGGCTTTGCCGCAGCATCAGGTGGCAAGTGCTGGGACCATGGTTAGAAATCCTTTTCTTTTCAAATGAGAATTTTATTTTATTTATATAAAAGTTGAAGTGACAGGGAGAAAAGTAGAGACAGAGACAAGGAGAAATTCTATCCTCTAGTTCATTACCGAAATAGCCACAGTGGCTAAGGCAGGACAAGATCAGGAACTCAGCTTGGGTCTCCCACATGGGTGACATGGGCTCAAGCACCTAGATCTTTTTTGTTGCCCTCCTAGGCATATCAACAGGGAACTAGATGGGAAGTGGTGAATCCTGGGAGTTGAACCTAAGCTCTGATATTGGATGCTGGCATTGCAGGCTAAAGCTTAATCAGCTGTGCCACAATACTAGCCATATAATTTCTTCAATTTCTTTAATAATAGCATAATATTTTTATGCTTGGAAAAATGTATTTGCCACTGTGTGCCCTTATGTATCAGAGACAATATTAGGATACACTGTGCCTTCAGATTTCTATAAACTTGTGTGGATTTTAGGTAAAAGTTGTATTAGGTATTTTTATGCCCTCAGTTTCAGCAATCTGATTCACAAATTTTGAATGCATTTATTTATGAAAAATAAGACAAAATTAATATAGATGACAGTTTCCATAATTATTTAACCAAAGTATTTCTAGTAAAAGTTGCTTACCATTAAAACTTTCATAAGGATACTGATGAAAAACATGATGCATAGAATAATTTTAGCAAGAAATATGTATTTGCGATTTGAAAATACATTCAGTGGTTAACTATTTTAATCCCTTTGTTTCTTGTCATCAACACATGTTTCAAAGAAAACCAATGAGTAAAATTGTTTGACATTGTTTATTAGTTTACCTGCATTTATGCTGAATTACAATGTAAAGGCAAAATTCACAAAGACAAATCTAGTGTAGTTTTTGTAAATTTTGTATTTGTATTTGCTGAAATGCAGATAACTATATAAGAATATTCAGAAGTGTCTTACATACTGTAGAAAAAGCATGATATGTAGTGACTGTTCCCAACCTGTGGTTTTGAGAGTCAGACATGCAAGTCCGCACTTGATCTTAGCCAAAAGGCCAAGAAGCAATAATCTTTCATTTCTTTCTGTTTCAAATGAATCAGCGTCTCCATTGTTGACATCAATCTTGGGAGAATTAAGGTAACGGTGACTCAAATTGTTTCCTGTGGTCCAAAGGAATTTGGAGATATTTACCCATAAGTTTTACATCTTATACACACATCACATCTTGTAACAATAAAGAAGAGATCTCAAAAGTTCATAGAATTGCATATTATGAAAAAGCTATGTGTAGATTTTAAGAATGGCATCAAAATTACTTTATCTTCTAAGTCCATTTCCACAATTACAGTTGTGTTTCATATACATATATAAAATCCTCCACATATTTTTCTTATATTTAATTACGTTAGAGGCACAATAATCACTCTTTAAGTGAAAATATTTGCATGACCTAAACGAAGTAAGACAACAATGAGAAAAGTAAAGAGAGTAACCAAAGGACAGATTTTCTGAGGACAATATGTGTGAGGTAGCAACTCACATTGAACAGCCAGATTGCTTTCAGGCAGTTTGAAAATTCCTTGAACACATGGTGGACTATAAAGTTTACAGCATCATGCAGTGGAGCCAAGAAGAATCCATGAAAATTGGCTTTGTTTCTGTACAGCACCAACTCTACTGTGTGCCTCAGGTGGACTGCTCTGATTGGCAATGAATTGAATACTGCATGGGTACACATGGTAGGAGTGGCTTGGGTAGCATTGCTTGGAAGGCAGACAGTGGTTTCAGATGTACTTTGGGGAATTCCTCAGTGAAGCCTCTGAAAGGCTTAGAAAGAGACAAGGCTGTGTGGGAAATTATGTATAATGACCAAAGCAACCACCTGCTACCTTGGCCCAAATACTTCTGTTTTCCTAATCAGTAATACAAGATGAAAAGAAAGCACAAAACAGTTTACAACATCCTATGAATGAATGCTGCAGCATTTGAGACTGACCATAGGCTCCCAAGAGCTGTTGGGATTTGAGATATTGAGAATATTTCAGAAGCATGCATGCCAGTCCAATTAGCAGACTTTGCTCATGCATTTCCACTTGTCATAATAATGTAAATTTCAAAGAAATTTTATATATATTGTAGTCTCCCTTGGCACAAAAATAGGACTGGGATTGGATGCACTGAGCCTGGCTAGACTCCAACACCCTCTGGTGTCCTGGAGGACCAGGGCAGATGTGGGATGGACTAGGCAAGGTCTCAACCCCTACTGAACCATGTGTGAGCCATATGTGGGTATGGACAAACCATGGCTGGGCTGAAACATCCAACATCAAGGACCAGTTTGGGTTGAAGGCCAGTCGGGAAAAGCCACTGTTCCTGCTATGACAGGAAGTGGACTGAGTAGAGCTGGCTCTGGACACACTGGTATGTGCAAAATCTGGCATTGGGAGAGGTTCTGATGGAGGAGCCTGGGCAACTCCTCTGGCAGGACACAGACCCGGCAGGTAAGCGCAAGAAACATGATAGGAAATAGCCCAAAAAAGGCCATGGAAAGTTACCCACGGGCATATATTTGGCATGGGTCAGGAGCAGACCAGGCTGAATCTGTTTACATCATCCACTGGCAAATCCAAACACCAGAACAGTGTGGGTCGAGCCAGATTCAGTCATGACAAAGACCAGTGCACAATATGGAATGCCAAGGTGAGGTTGCCTGTATGGAATGTGACCGCAGTGCCCAACCAGCACGCATGGGGGTGGAGCTGGCAGGGGGAATAAGGGGTGGTTCCTTTGCTGGACAGCTACTCCTGCTGGAGAGCATGGGCTGGGATGGGGGCAGACCAGACTAAGCAGGGCTACAACACCTGTGGGCCTCATGTGGACTAGATCAGGGAAAAGTCAGGCTGGGCTGATTATTCCTACTGGTGCAAACACAATTAGAGTGGGTGAGGGTTGTTTGGGCTTAGCCCCAGCATCAACTGGCAGAAGCTGGCACTGGGGGCTAGTTCTGTCAAGTCAAACCACAGAACTACCTGGAGAGAGCACAATCTGGGAGTGAGAGAGACCTGGGAGGGAAATAGTGGGCTCCTCCCTCTTGGGTTACCACTTCCACAGGAGGGCACGAAAACCAGGAAAGGGGCTGGGGTGGAATGGAGTGTGGGACAGATTGGACTAGTCTGCTACAAATACTGGCAAACCAGGGTAGGGGGCGGGCTTGGTGGGGGTTATTGTGGGTCGCTCCAACTACACTGCAGCTCCCACTGGTTTATGTGAGGGCTGAGTATGTGCTGGGCAGAACCAGGCTGGACTGCAACACCCATTGTTTCCTGTGGAAGTCAGGGCTGAAAACAGAACCAACCCATCGATCCCAACCACCAGCTGATCAGGGCGATGGACTGTGCCAGGCCCTATACTTGCGTGTACATTCAAGAATCTGGTTTGAGAATACCTCAGACAAAGTTTCTTTGGAGATCTCCCCAATTGAAATGCTGGACTCAGAACCCTAACCAAGAAAAGAGAGAAGACAGAACAGGTCAATCAACCATCTCAGCTGTATGTTAGCAGTGAAATACAGGGCAAACAGTGAGTCTATGATGGACTATGTTAATCAGTGGATTCTTCAAAGAACTCATAGTGCGTGGAGTGGCAAGATTGGCAGCGATTCATAGCTGTTAACTGTCAAAACCACTTGAGTAAGAACCTCGGAGCATACCCTACATCTGGGACCTGGGGAGGGTGGGAAATTGGGTGGGCCTTCCCCCCTTTAAACATGAAGGAAACAATATAGAAATAATAGTCTTACCCACTTTCCTATAGCCCTTGTACCTTTTTACCCTAAATAACTATGTAAACATTGTCAAAAATATAATAAAAAAAGAAATTTTATATATATTATCAGGAAAAGAAACTCTACTTTTCCTTCGCCAGAGTACTCTGCAAAGCCTCTAAATTTCTGAAAGGTGATTTTCCATAACTTATTTCACTGTTCAAATTCAATTTATTTCTGCCATCTGTTATTTCTCCCTGGGTTTTTTTAGAAGTCATATTTGGACTATTTGATAGTACTGTGACAAGAGCCTCACATCTTACGGTATAATTGATTCTCAGTTTGACAGTTCAACAAATAAACAATGAGAGTCTATTGTAGGCCAATAGCTGTGATATTTATTGTTTGAAGGAAAATGCTTAAACCGGAACGTTCAAAACTCTCCATCTGTTTGTTTAGGAAGCTATTCATTTGTAATAATGACTATGCCGATCATTTTCATTTTAGATGATATACTTTAGAAAAGAAGTCTTAACTGTGGTCTGTAAGTGTTCTTTTAGAGCAGTTTGGGGGTAATTGAAGAAATATAAATTACTCTTCAAGAGTGTTTTGTAACAAGCTAATGTATTAATATAGCTTTTCCAAATGGAAAATAATAAATTTCTAAATGTAGAATCCTTTGTCACTAAATATTTTTTTTCTGTTCTATAAAACACTTCATTTAGCAATGTTGTTACAGTTTTTTACAGCATCTGTTTTTCATTTTGCAATCGTTGCTTGCTTTTTTTCAGTCTCTTGAACAACAATCAAATTAGAAAGATTGCCAGAAATGCTTTTGAAGCACTTGAAAACCTGCTGTATCTGTAAGTAATAAGAAAAATGAACAATGGCTTATGATGTTGACAGATTATTTTTCCATTTTGTTTGCGTTGACTGATGCAATTTTTCACTTTCTTGAGAAACACTGTTTATCATTACACAAAAATCATACAAGAACATTTCCAAGTGTAGTAAATTATTGATTTTAGATTGTGTATTGGAAAGCATGTGAATATTAAGCACATTTCTGTTCCCCAATCTTTCCACAGAAATTATAAACCAGAGAAAGAAAAAACCAAGAAATTTGCTCAATATTTTATATCCAAATCTAAAGATTTATTATTTTCAACAAATTCCATATATTGAAAAGAAGCTTTGTGTCAGTAACTGAACTATCCAAGACCTTGGAAAACCACTGAACACATTAGAATTAGGAACTCTTGTGAACCTGGGGAAGGTAGAAATATTGGACAAATGAACTCACAAATATGACACTGACAAAAGTTATGCTATTGATATATTATTGGTATATATAATACAGGTATTTTAAGTCTGGTTTGATGAAGAAAACAATTCATGAGGATAATTAAATGTCTGAAGGTTTAGGTGAAAGGCTGCAGAAAGAAATTGCAAAAACATGACAGGAGTAAATGCTAACATTTTTTGAACAGAACATTAAGGAGGGAAGTCATATCTTTAACAAACATTTTCACTTGTGAATTCATTAAGTATTCTGTTTTAAAAAGTTATCTCTTTAAAAAATGATGTCATCTCAAACTTTTGCTCTGATCTAATCTACACAACTGTAGCCTCTTCCTGAGCCACTCAAATCCCTGTTACAATCTGTCCCAAGAGTCTTATCTGTAGTTCCTTATATTCAACCAAGATGGTCCAGTCTAACATGGAAAGCCTCCCGGCTTTTTATGACCTAGACCTTAAGTTCTTTGTGTTCATGTTGAGGCTATACTCTTCCACATATGGCCAAATAATGTTCATATGCATGCTCATATTTATAGTAGGACAATAGAGGTATCCCTTTAATGTAAGGATTTTTTGTCTCTTAGATATATACCTATTAGTGCGATTGCTGTATCGCATGACAGTTCATTTAGACTGAATTCATTCCCATTAACAAAATTTTTCCTTTGTTCGTATCCTCACATCATTTGTTACTTTCCATACTTTTGCTAATAGTAATTATAACAGGAATGAAGTTGTTCGTAGTTTTGATTCACATTCCCTGCTACCTACTGATATTGGACATTCATTTCAGACATTTGTTGTCCAATGGTATTTCTTTGAAAGTCGTCTAAGTTCTTTGCTCATTTACTAACCAGATTTATTGCCTTATTGTTGCTGAGTTTTTGGGTTCCTATAAACTCTGCATTGAGATAAATAACTTCCAAATATTTTCTACTCTTCTGTCAGATGTCTCTTGACTCTACTGTTTCCTTTGCTATGTTGAATTGCTGGCATAGTTTTGGGTCTTATCCAGGTGCATCACCTACACCAACATTTGAAGTATTTACTGCATGATTTCCTCTAGAAATTTTGTAGTTTCAGATCTTTGATTTATACAGTTTTAAAGACTGGTTATTTATTTATTTGAAAGGCATAATGTCAGGGAGAGAGAGAGAGAGAGAGAGAGAGAGAGAGAGAGAGAGAACCATCTGCTGCATATTTTAGGATCATTAGCTGGCAGCTGGATTTAGATCTAGCTTGATGTGATTTTTATATATGATGAGTGGGATGGATCTATTTTCTTATTTACATGAATACTTATTTAATTTTGCTAGCACTCTTTATTGGAAAAAATCTCTGGGTCTGGCGCAATAGCATAGTCATTAAAGTCCTCGCCTTGAACACGCCAGGATCTCATATGGTTCCCGGTTCTAATCCCGGCCAACCTGTTTCCCACCCAGCTTCCTGCCTGTGGCCTGGGAAACAGTCAAGGACAGCCCAAAGCTTTGGGGCCCTGCACCCGCGTGGGAGACCTGGAAGAGCTTCTGGCTCCTGGCTTCGGATCGGCTCAGCTGCAGACATTGTGCTCACTTGGGGAGTGAACCATCCAAAGGAAGATCTTCTCAGTCTCTCCTCCTCTCTGTATATCTGTCTTTCCAATAAAAATAAATAAATCTTTTAAAATTTTTTTCCTTTCTTCAGTGTATCTTCTTGACACTTTTGTCACAAACAGTTGACTGTACATTTGTGGGTAAATTTCTGGCTTCTCTGGCTTCCTTGGTCTTTTTTTTCCTATTTATTTAGTTTTTTTTTTTATTACATTGTATTATGTGACACAGTTTTATAGGTACTGGGATTCCCCCTACCCTTCTCCTAACCCTCCCCTCATGGTGGATTCCTCCCCCTTGTTGTGTAACCACAGTTTTTAAAAATTTATTTTAAAAGAGTTATAGAGAAAAAAAAAAGACAGGGAGCAAGAGAGTTATATTCCATTTGCTGTTCACTTCTCAGATGATCACAAATGTCAATACTGGGCCAGGTTGAAGCCAGTTTTCAACTACATATCCCACACGTGTGGCAGGAGCCCAGCACTTGGGCTATCTTCCACTGCCTTTCCCAGGCCATCGCAGGGAGCTGGATCAGAAGTGGAACATCTGAGACTTGAACCAGCACTTATATGTGATGCCAGCACCGCAGGCAGAGGCTGCGGACAACACCATGGTGTTGTCTTATTCTGATACACTGACCTATGAGTTTATTTTTATAGAGGGAATATGCTGTTTTAGAATGGTTTGAAATAAAGCCATGTCTTGCTTCCTGTTTATTTTTTTTTATAAGGATTGCTTTCACATTCTGGGTCTATTCTTATTCTCTATGAATCGGATTTTCTAAGTATGTTAAGATGACCATTGATGTTTTGATAGGAATTGCTTTGAATTTGTAGATTGCTTGAAGTAGATTGGGTATTTTTCCAATACATGAACAAGAAAAAGCTTTCTGATTTGTGTGTGTCTTCATTGATTTCTTCCATCAATGCTTTATAGTTTGCATGTAGAGATCTTTCGTTTCTTTGATTGAGTATATTGCTAAATATTTAAATTTCTGTGAGTAAGATTTTTCTTTTGGTTTCATCAAGATAATTATTGGAATATGAAATGTAACCTTTTGTGTAGGTCGATTTTTGCATCCGTGACTCCACTGAGCTTTTTGATGGAGTGTACGTTTTTCCATGTAGTAGGCGAATATAGATATTTTGGCTATTTTTCCAAAAAAAGATGGCTCCAAAGTCTTTTATTTCTTTTCTTTTCCTAATTGCTCTTGCTAATATTTCCAGTGCTATATGAATACTAATGGTGAAAGTAAACATCTTTATCTTGTTCCAAATTTGAGTATTCTTGTGTTGGGTGTGTATATATTTATGATTGCCTTATCTTTCTCTTTTGTGTATCTCTTTTGTAGGTGGAATTTTCACTCTCAAGTGTTTTAATTCTGATTTCTATGATTTATTATTTATTTGTTATTTGTAACATAGAACTTCTTTCAAGAATTCTTGTAAGGCTCGTCTAATGGTGATGAATTCATTCCATTTTGACTGCTGTGAAGTCCCTTATTTATCCTTCAGTTCTAAAGGGTATCTCTCTGGGCTTTCAGTATTCTTGGATGGAAGTTCTTTTCTTTCCCTTCAAAACCCCATGTTTATCATTCTATTCACTCAGGCTTTTGGATATCTACTGAGAAGTCTGCTGTTAGGCTGCTGCAGTTTCCTTTATATGAAATGTGATGTTTTTCCATCACTGTCTTTAAGATTTTCTATTTATCCTTAACTTTTGACAGTTTAACTATGATATGATATGGTGTAAGTCTTTTTAATTTGTGTCTGGTTGGGGTTCTTTGAACTTCCTGTGTCTGAATGTCCATATCTCTATCTAGATGTAAGAAGTTATCAACTACTTTTTCATTAAGCAGGTTGTCAGTGACTTATTCTCATCTCCTTCAGGTATCCCTGTAATGTTAACACTTGTTCATTTAATGACATCTCATGTAGACATCATCAATCATTTTTAGTTTTTTCTTTTTTACTTTTGTCTTTATTTCTAATGCTTTTTCTTCATAATTAAAATTCTTCCTTCCATCTTATCTCTGCTGTTGTTAATACTCTCAATTTTTTAAATTTCACTTATCTAAATTTTTAGCTCCAAAATTTCTGATTGTGTTAATGACTGGTATCATTTTGTTGAATTTCTCATTCATACTATACATTGTTTTTCTCATTACTTTTATCATGTTTTGTGTGTTTCTGCACTGATGCTTGTGTATTTGGAATAATAGTTCATACTTCTTCATTACGTAGTTTATATTAAAAAAATTTGTTCAGCTGTAGTTTGGGGGTTCCTCTTTGGATTCTAGATTCTAGAGTGTGTCCAGAGAATCTGGAGTCATTTCTTGAGCTGTATTCACTGTCAGTTGTGTCTCAGGATGCCTTGTTGTCTTGTCTGCAGTGGTTTATGAAATGACTTTAAGGTATGTGCACATCCCAATGTTTGTATCCTGAGGCTGTAACGGTGTCAGTTATTACACTTAGGTTTATGGTGGCCACAGCCACATCTTGGAGTTTGTGCCCTGTCAGGAACAGATATAGAGCAATGAAATTCAGATAGGGTCTTCTCTGGTCCTACAGGAAGTAGCCTGGTGACTCTAGACTATGTAGTTCTGAGAGTGCCAAACTTAGAATTAAAGGACCCAGAGGGCACCTTGTCCATGTTCCACAGATTAATCACAGGTTCTGTGGGACATTGTGTATTGGCAGTTGAAAACATTGATTGGTGGGATATGGATAGGAACTTAGGTAGGCCCAAATGGGGTGATCACCGGACTTACAATATTAAAAAACACAGACCCAGAGCTACAAGATGCAGTGAGGCTCTAATATAGATATCCTAGGGTGAGTGGAGATTATGCTGGGGATTGTGAACTGGCAGCTACCAACTTGAAGAAATAGAACATAGTACCCGCCAATGGTACAAGTTCCTTCAGCAATTTTAGCACACATAGCCACAACCCCAGAGCTTTAGGACACACAAGA